TCTATCTCTTTCTGGCGCGTGGGCCTCTGGCAAATTGCAAGTCTTTGTGTTGGATTAGTTTGGAATTTAATCATGCATTTATTTTCCCTCCACTTAAATTATTTATATATTTGATTAACGTTTTTCACTGCTAGAAAGTCAAATTTTCAATGAAAACATGCCCATTGAATTTCAGGGCAGTTTCATGGTATCAGTCTGTCTGTTGAATATTAAGAACTTACTCTGTATTAGTCTTCTTAGCTACTGAGGATTTTGGTGAGCAAAGAATGTGTGCTTTGTCCACTCAGCCCCAGGAACATAATGCAAAAAAGAGTAAGTCTGTCTGAACTAACCCCTCCCCTTGTTTTAGCCCAGGATTCTGATTTCTATTCCTTCCTACTGCGTTTTCTTTTCTGTGGCACTGAAACATATATACTTCTAATTTTACTTCCTCAGGCTTGAGAGCTACCTTGACTGAGAAAGTCATGGTCTCTGCTATCACACAAGGAAGCTTTGAAGCCATCTAGTTGAGGGTGAACAAGCTAATGGCCTGCAGGCCCACTTCTTCTTTTTTTTTTTGCATGGCCCATGAGCTAAGAATGGTTTTCACAGTTTTAAATAATTGAAAAAAAGTTTGTTTTTTAAGAGTATTTCATGATGCATGAAACTTTTGGTATCCCTAGGTAAACAGCTGTGCCCATCATTTACATGCGGTATGGCTGCTCTCCTGAAAACGGTGGCAGAAGTAAGAAGTTGCAACAGAGACCTTTGGCCGAAAAAGCCTGAAATTTTTACTATCTGGCTTTTTACAGAAAATGTTTGCTGACACCTAATCTAATTTACCATCCTAATTCAGCTATTTTCAACTTTTTTCATCTCATGGCACATATAAACTAATTACTAAAATTCTGAGACACACCAAAAAATATATTTTTTGCGATCTCACAAAAATAAATAGGTATAATTTTGATTTATTGACGCCGGACAGCTATATCTATGTATTTCTTTATAGTAATTGATTACATCCTGTGCTCAGTGTTTGGACTATAAAGACAGCTATTGGTTTGTTGGCTGTCATCATTTTTTATTGGACAATCTAAGGGAAAAGAGGTCAGAGCCCCTGACTAAATAGTCAGGTATTGCATGTTTTAAAAATTCTTACTGCACATCGGTTGAAAAAAGCTGCCCTAATTTTACAGATGAAAATAAGGTCCAAATAGGTGAACTGAACTGTCCAAATGCACACAGCTCATCGGAAATTGGTTTGGATGCATCTTTTGTTGCCCACCGTGCTCTTCTCACTGTAATAGAAGGTCTGCCCTGAGATGAGCCCACATGAGCATTCTTATCAGAGGCCAAAGCAGATTTGCAAAGAAAAATGAATATTTAGGACATGGACGTGTAAAGTCTATGATTTCTTAGAATTTTAATTTTCACTTGAATCCAGCTCCAGGAAATGTTTTAAGCTTACAATACATTTGAACAACCTAAATAGACAGAAAAATGTCTATGTATTTCTTTATAGTAATTGATTACATCCTGTGCTCAGTGTTTGGACTATAAAGACAAGCAAGATAGACCTGGTCCCTGCTGGCCAAGATCATAGAACTCATTTCAAAAAAAGGAACTTGCGGTCTCCGTCTAAGTTGGCACTTAAGCAGTTTCAAATAATTACAAAAAGCATGTTAGATGGAACTCAGGCTCCTCTAAGTGGGCAGAAAGGAAAACTTTCCAAGATGCTATCAGGTTGCCTCCACTGTCCAGTTCAGGTCCTTCCCTGTCCCAGTCATGTGGAGACAACACTGGGGGTTTTGCTTGCTGATTGGCATGGGATTCCCATCACTGGAATTTTCAGACATTGCCTCAGCTTGGTAGCAGATCCCCAGCACCCTTATAGGTATCTTCTACAACCTTTCTGTCACTTATGGTTACTAAAGATCATCCAGTTTAATCTTCCAACCTCATGCCACCTTCAGAGCTTTCCCTTCCTATACCAACCAGGCATACACTCAGGGGGCTGGGAGTGTTCACTCCTGCTCTGCATCCACATTTTTCCTCTCCTTCTAGAGTCTATCTCCTCCAGTGTGTTGGGGAGAACAGACGAGAGTCTGTTACTTCACTGGCCACTTTTGGTGCCTCCCTGCTGGTCGTCCCAGTTCCCCTGAGTAATGCCAATTAACTTTGATGCCCTCCTCCTTCAGGGTTGGCATTCAGGTACTGGCTTTCTGGTGGGGTGTATGCGACTTCTCTCTGGGGGTATATCTCACAGTCTAGCTGCTGGAAACCTGACCATGAGTCATGCTGCATTTTAGGAGGGCCAAGCTTGCCTATCACACACAGTGACATCCACCAGGCTCCTGGAATCTCCTGTGTCTGTCTGGCTCATTCTCTGTTGCCATGTGTGTCCTTTACCCTGGTCCTCAAAGGCACCAACTTATGTCCTTCTGCAGGTGCTTCTGTTTCATCTTTCTGCAATGATGTCCCTATCTCACCACTCCCATCCTTACCTACACCCCTGGCAGGTCTTCACTCATCCTTCCAGTCCAACTTAAAATGCATCTTCATTGGAAAAGCTAACCTTAATGTTCCACATGGCTTTGGGATCCCATTAATTGTGTGTATAAAACCTTCTTATTTCCCTTCATGACACCGGTTACAACTATAATTGTATAGTAACTTAAGTCATTATTTGTTTCCTTCAGTAGACTGTAATTTCCTTAGGGCAGGAATCATGTCTGTCTGATTCCCAAGCATTGTACCTGGTATGGAGTGGCAGTCTATACAAACGTATAAATATGTGAGAGTTGAATGCATCACATTGTATTCCTTGTATTCTACTCAGCAAAAGAGGGTTCACATTTGGATATCTTTCTAATTCTTTTGAATTCGTGATAGTATGTTATTTTAAATTAATATAATACCTTATATTAAAATCTTACTGTATGGATAGTAGGTAAAATGAAGTTGAAAAGATAAGCAAAAGATCAAAGGTGTAATTTCTTTTGTCCAGTGAAAGTTTAGTTTTCTGCGTGAGTCAAATTAATTCAACAAATATTTACTGAGGCCCTACCAGGTACCAGGGACACTTGTCACTTGCAGAGAATTTAAAACTTAAAGACATGGGTCCTGGCCTCAAGGAGTCGCTCAGCCCAAATTCTAATTCAGTTTTCCAATTTTAACTTTACCTGCCTCCCTTCTCCCTCCTTCTTTCCTTTTCCTTTCATGTATATCAATGCAGGGAGCTTTATTTACAATAACTTGGAAAAAGACTGAACTGATAACAATTTTTATGGAGTGGTTTTGTGCAATCATTAATTTTTTTCTCTCTGGAAAGGAGAATTCATAGAACCCCTCTCTATTATGTGGGCTTAAAGGCTGGATGTCAGCACACATTTGGGACAATCCTGAGTGATGTAAATGGACTTCAAAAGTGTACTTGAAGCATAAGTTTAAAGATTGCATGTTGTCTCCTGTCTAGCAAATCTGTTCTCTTCATATACTTATGTAGACCAGCATAACTTTTAACAAACACTAATACTTAGGACAGTTGATTTTTTATAGGAAACTCACACCTGTTTGCCCTGGGGTTGCTACACTGTTGTGAACCTGAGTGATTCTCTGTGGTTTCCTTCTGGTCTTCAGAGCTTCCGAAAGGTTCCTGGCTGTCTCCCTGTGCACTGTGCTGTAATACCCACTCTGTTCCACAGACTTTCTGGGGGCTGCTCAAGGAGAGGAAATGAATAGTTAATTGCTTTTCTCTCCCCTTATTCAGTTTTCAGCTCCAGAGACTGCCCAACTCACTTCATTGTTTCCCTGCAGCAGTCAGCCGCCTAGTGGAATAACTGGGAAAGGCAGCCTGTGATGGTGGAATCTTAGGCTCTGGGCCCCAGAGACCGCTCACTGAGGAGCCAGAGGCAGGAAAGTAATTAAACATTCTGTCACTACTATGCAGCTCATGAGACCTAAGTGGAGCCTTCTTTTATTGCACAACATTTTTAGTAGTGTATTTCTATATATGTTTGAAAAAAACCTTACATTAAGGCAAATAAAAATGTGGGGTGACTGGAGAATAAAATCAACAAGATCAACCTAGTACACAAGTTTCCCCAGTAATCCATAATTGAACATTTTAATTATATTAGAATTAACTTAAATTTGATCCAAATTAAGAACCTTTTCTTCCTCTGGTGCTTCTGTAAGTTTCTTGTGACTCCCAGTTGTAAGGCACGTGATACATGAATCCAAGGAACTCCATTAAAAAAAAAAAATTCTAAAACTTTGACTTGTTGAGGAATTCAGGGAAATTCATCTTAATTTTAAAAGGCGAATTAATAGGATTATAGAACTGGAAAGAACGTTAGAACTAGGTAATCCATTTCTTTATTTTGTACATGCAGACAGCCAAGATCCTGAGAGACTACAGCATTTTGTTGACGATCACCTGGTTCTCATCTCCAGTATCTAAGTTCACTTCTCTGTGACTGTTATTCAAGAAGAAATCCCACTAATTGGAAAATAAAGTGTAGTTTGGAAAAGTGCTTTTGGTTTGTTTTTCTCCCCTCCTTATTACAGAATTGTGTGTGTTTGTGTGTGCATGCATGCATGTGTGTTCTTTTTCTGCAGTCAGCTATGGCTCTAACACAAGGCCTAGAGTGCAGGAGAGCTAGAGAGCACCTCTGTGGGCATTTAGCCTTGACCCCCACTTGGTAGATGAGAAATAACAGAGACTCAGAGAGGACACATGGCTCACTCTATTTCACAACTCTGCTCTTCAGATGCCCTATGCAGTACTTTTCTAGGACATCAGGCTTCCTCCAAATAGTGTCACTACTTTTAGTTAGGAAGTATACATACACAGTTAATAAGAACAAATTTACTTAAATGTACTAACTAGAACAAAATAATCTGTAATAAAGTTACCTTGTAGTCTTCATGGCATTTTTTGCATTCCCATTTTTTTACCTTCAGAAATTAGTAATATATTTTTACTTAATTTTTCTCTTTCTTTTTTCAAACCCCAGCATATAAATAACGACCATATTCATGGAGAGAAGAAGGAATTTGTGTGCCGATGGCTAGATTGCTCAAGAGAGCAGAAACCCTTCAAAGCCCAGTATATGCTGGTAGTGCATATGAGACGACACACAGGAGAGAAACCTCACAAATGCACTGTGAGTACACAGGTGGCACAGGCTGTCAACTTGGGGGTCACCTCACACCTGTGGGTGTCATGATTTATATCATGGGTCCTTTGTCATACTCTCAGGGTTGTGCATGATGACTCCAGCTCAGGGGTGGCATGGCTGGGTGGCAGGCATTGACTGTGATAAATACAGGGGTTTGTGCAAGAAGTTTCTGAAATGGAAGGGAGGAAGCAAGAAATGGAGAAAGAAAGCTGACAGCGAGCTTTGGGGGATGATAGACGTGCTCTAGATCTGCACTGTCCAACATGGTAGCCATGTGCACCTCTTATACACTTTTGAGATTTGGCTAGAACCAGGGAACTAAGTTTTTTAATTTGTTTTTAGAAAATTTAAATATAAATAGTCTCACATGGCTAGCTGCTACAAAGGTGGACAGCAGAGCTCTGCAGAGTGACAAGTGGGCAGGCAGTGGCTGGGACACACTGGCGGGCACTGGAAATGAGCACACAGACATCGTGCCTGCCCCCGTGCTAATGTCCATTGTGTCAGAGGACTCAGTGCCAGCTATGATTTAAAAAGCTTAAGTTGACTTTTTAAAAATATAACTTATATGGCTTTAGAGTTTTTCCTTTCCCTCCTATTCTGTTCTCATGGCCTGGGAATCCTAGGAAGCTAAGTCTTCTTTTACTGAGGTGCCCGCCAGGCACACTGGGCACTGCTCAGCCCTGATACTTTACATCTTAAAGGCCCTTTATAAACAGATCAAATTCTATGCCTTTGTGTGGGCACAAAGCCATATAATGAACTTTGTGCTGAATCTGAAATCAGTGGGAATTCAAGGAGATCAATGAGCAGATAATGAAACCCATTGTCTGCACTGAGTGGTCTTTTAAGAAAAAATTTCCATGACTTTCACTAGCACTGAAAATACTTTCTCGAACTACACTGAGCCCCATCTGAATCCCAATAAATGCAGACTTTTGTTCCTTGGTTTTGAAAAGCTGCTGACCCTCAAAACATCAGTCTCCTGTCAGTTTGAGGGAATGTTAAGCATAAACTGTTACTGTGTGGAGTAATCCAGATTTACCTGTTGTCTTCAGTTTGAAGGTTGCACAAAGGCCTACTCGAGATTAGAAAATTTGAAAACACACTTGAGATCTCACACTGGAGAAAAACCATATGTTTGTGAGCATGAAGGCTGCAACAAGGCTTTCTCAAATGCTTCTGATCGTGCCAAGCACCAAAACAGAACACATTCCAATGAGGTAAGGCTCCCCCATGAGACGCACTTGGGGCCCAGAGATTGTAGATAGGAACAATGAACCTTCATGGGGAGTATACGTGAAGAGGTAAGCCTGTTCCATTCTACTTCCTCTTGACCATTCCCAACATGAGTGAGCACTGATGCTGTAGGTGATGGCTTGGGGCCTTGGAGGTAGGGCTGAAAATGGCCTGATTTGGAGAGTAATGCAGATGAAGAGAGAACTTTTTAAAACCCCTGGCAAACAGGTTCTACTTTTTTCAGAACTGCCACCTACTGGTTAAATAATAGAGGCATTTAACTTGGAATTCCATCCACTTGCTAGGCCAGGGATCCATGAAAGGGATGACCCTGTGAACATCAAGGATAGATTCCAAAGCAACATGTTGACAGCTGACAGCAGCTTTCCACTAAAACAGCCATTTTTATTTGCTTTCTCCAAGTAGTGTCTTCAAATGCAATATATATAAAAAAAGACCTTTACAGAACAACCAGCGTTGGTTAAATATGATTTCCAGACATTCTAAATTTCAATGGATCTTGGAAGTTATTCTCAGAAACTCAGAATGGTTTTAAGTCAGTTATTTAAGATAACATATTGAGTAAAACTTCATGGTTAGTGGGTGGATCTTGTTGTGTTGCTGTTATTTTTAGGTCGTTATCCCCTCAAAATTTCAGATAAGCATAAGAATGAAAATGATTTCAAATTCATTTTGCTTACATTTTAATGCATGCCTACTTGCAGACCTCCAACTTCTTGAAGATCTATCTCAAATTCTGGCTCCTTTGTGAACCTTCTCTTGAATGAAGCCAGTCATAGTTTGGGTAGAAATAGGAGAGCTTGAAATGTGTGAGAGAAGGAGCATTTTGACCTTGGCAAGGCTGTCATCTGACCTCACAAGGTGCTATCAGGCCCATTCATGATCTTCCAAATGGAGAGTTGAGAGAGAGAATCTCATTAAAACAGTGTGCCAGCACCTCACTGGCCATTGGCTTTGGTGGCAAAGATGGTCCTCACTGGGTTTACTTACAGCTGAACTGGCAGAGCAAAAATATCTCTAACAAGATCAACCACACTCTCTAAAAAGCACATTAACATAAACTCACACATACTCAGACCCTTTTTGAAAAGGTCTTGGTGGATTAAAGAAACATCATTTGGTATCTCTTATTATTGACCAACTGTTTGAAGATATTTTAGGAAAGATGCTGCATCTCCTTTTATATGTCAAAAATGCTTTTACCATGTGCAATAGTTAGTGTAATCTGCTATACTTGTATTGTACCAAGTTTTACGGAGTCTAGAATAGGCAAATCCACAAGAGACATAAAGTCAATTAGTGGTTGCCAGAAGCTGGGAGTGGGGCTTGAGGTGACAGCTAGTAGGTACAGGGTTTCTTTTTAGGATGGTGAAAATATTTGGGAATTTGATAGTGGTAATGTTTATATAACATTGTGAATGTACTAAATGACACTGAATTATGCAACTTCTAAAAGGGTTATTTTTACAGTATGTGAATTATATCTCTACTTAAAATGTTTTAGGGGATTTGATTAACTGAATTTAGAATTTAATGTATTTAACTGCATTTAATATATTTAAGTATAATTTTGACTAGAAATATAGAGGGTATTTATTCCTATAGATTTTAGGCCAAGGTTCTCTCCTGTTATTGTGGAGAAATTTGGGTAGTGGGTATGTTAGGATTAGCAGTGCACACATATAAACATACTACTCAGGTTTTTTCTTTCCATGGACTCTAAAATATGTACACGTGTGTGTTTGCTATAATTAAGTGTGTTATAGTTGAACTTCTATTCTCCTGTGAGGTAAAAAGTGCTGTGCCGAATGAGAGTTTAATATCTATTGTGGGATTAAAAGGTATCTTGGTTAATAATACCTTTTACCAAGGTTGAGCAATTTTTTAAATAATTAAAAAACATTTTCAATTACAGTTGACATACAGGATTATTTTAGGTTGAGGTATACAACATAGGGATTAGACATTACAAAGTAATTACCCCAGTAAGTCTATTACCCATCTGACACAAAAATTGAGTAATTTACCTAAAATAAATTATTAACATTGACCATAAACACATAAATAAAATTTTATTCACAAACTTGTAAATTATTTTTCTCTATTCTTTATACAAGGCTTGTACTTGCATATGAATAATGGACAATTTCAGATATACCAAAATTAAGTTTGTCCAGGAAATCCAGTTTTGTATAGTCTCACAATCCTAATAAATCTAGATGTTGTCTCTCATTTGTTTGCTTTATTAATAGTACCTTCATTGATTTACTAAACAAATATTGATATCTAATGTGCTAAACACTTCGCTGTTGTAGATGCAGCAAGGAATACAGTGGACTAGAACAGGAACGCAATAATTCCCATTCAAGGAAGCTTGTTCCTCCCAAAGCCACACTAAGCAAGTTTCCTTGAGCTCTGATTTGGTTGTATCTCCCATGCCATAAAGTTCCAATGGCTCCCTCTTTCCTGTAGGAAATGTTAGACTCCTTAGGCTTGTACCCACTCTCCCTCAGCCCAAGCCTGCTCTTGCAGTCTTGAACTTTTATCATCGTAACCATGAATGGAACCTTCCAGACAGCCTGTGCTTGAACAGTAATGCCTGCATGCATGAAGTGGCCCCACTGCTGGATCTTTGCTTAGGATATTTCAGTTTTTGCATCCTCTCACCCTCATTTTTATCCCTCAGAATCTTGTTCTTTCACGGTCCAACTACAGTGCCTCCTCCTAATAAAAGCTCTGTTTATTGAGAACTTACTATGTGCAACACATTGTGGTAAGCATTTTGTATACATTATCTTATTTAACTCACCATGACCAGGTGAGATGGGCATTATACCCAAATATAGAAACTCAATGCTTTCCATGATCATCCTAACAAAAATATGATTCCCCTCTTCCCACATCCTTCTGTAGCATGCACACTTTGTGTTGTAGGTAGTTGTGTGCTGTCTTATTTTTCTTACCATATTTTATAATCCTTGAGATTAATTCCTGTTGTATATAACTTTGTGTGCAGAGAGTCTTGTGTATAGCAGGGGTCATTAAATGTGTACTGAAAATTTCTTTGGGTAAGTTCTGCAAAGTCAAGTACAAAAGGTATCAATTGCTTTTACAAAGTACCTTTCAACACAGTGAGTCAAAAAGGTACTGGCCGTGCCAAAAGTGGAACATCCAGGACAGGAAACTCGGGTACCTCAACTGAGAAAGTCTGACAACATTTACCTTCTCCTACAGTTATATTTTATTTCAGTCACTGATGACAACAAAATTTGAGGGCCAACCTATATAATTGAGCTAATACGTTTTGTTGTAAAGCCTAAGTTTCCTGAACCTGTGTTCTTACGGATTTTTTCAGGTGGATAATGTATATGTTCACACGCAGGACACCTGGGCACACATGTATGTGTTGTTGTTCCTGGAAATGCTGGAGTTGTTGAACATTCATAGACTCATTCCATTTATGGCTGTGTCCTCATTTCCATGTGAACTCATAGTATCCACATGCATATATTTATGGGAAGAATAGCTCTTCAAACTTCTAACTCTGGCCTGGCTTTGTGGGGACCTCCCCCAATCCCAATACACCTTCCCCATGCATCCCAGTCTGTCTATTAATGGAGCAGCCTGTCATAGCAGTGCAGTGAGCATGCACAGGGCCAGTGTCAGAATACTATAAGGTAATAACACTAATCATTGGGGCCATTCTTCTGTCCCTAATGCATAGAATTTGATGTGCTTATTTCATCATTATGTGTGTGTGTGCGTGTGCGTGTGTGTGTGTGTGTACTGCAAATCACAGGAGCACCTGAATAGAAGTAATTCATAGTTAATGGGAATCAGTTTTACCCAAAAGAATGGCGAAGTCTCTCAGGATAATTTTCATAATCCTTGCCTCACTACATTAGGACCTTTCATCATTATTTTAGGTAGCACTCCATCTGTTCTTGGGCTTTTAGTCAAAAAGCATCTTTTAGACACATACACTCTATAAGATAGGGCATCTTTTTAAATATAATGGATGCATTATACTGATCATGCTTTTTATGACTCTTGCTTACCTAATAGCTCATCTTCTAATATGTATATATAGATATAAGTATATACTATATAAGCATCCATGAATATATTTCAAGCCAAGTAAACAAATTCGTAATTCTGATGTTGGTCACGAATACAATGCCAGCAGTTCTCTAATTTGAGTAAATATTCAGCTATAAGCATCCATATAATTTTTTATGACTGTATCTGTGGGCTTGATTACTGGCCCACAGAGAAAATGAAATTAACATGAAATAATTTATAGACCTTAGTACTCAGGAGCAGAGCCTAGACCAGGAATCTTCATCTCCAGGACACCATCCATTAGCCCTTTTCAGTTTATGAGTGAGCTTTCATGGAAAATCTAACAGGACTTTATGACTTTGAGGATTGGAAATGTTCTGGATATTCTGGGCCCTGATCATCCCCACAGAATTGTAATACTACCCAAAGAAACATATTTTAGTGATACCTAACATGGAAGAATCTGGAGGCAATTTTTTTATGCCTAAGTGTAAAAAGCACATTTTCAAGAGGTTAGACTGATATTAGATCTGAAAACTAGGACATCTGTAAGAAATTTTTTCACACACACTCTCCCAAAAGGTATATAGCATTCCTTTGATTAATGGTGGTATCTTTTATGGCTTCTTCTGTCATCATCATCACCATCAATGTCATCATCAAATAGCTATTCAGCACTTACTGTGACACCATGATTCTTCTTCCTACTCAAAGGATAAATATTTCTAAGATTATAAATGCAATTTATATGTTCTTAGTTCTTCGTGACCACTTTCTAGAACAGTAATGTCTTAAAGCTAGATTCTTTAGACCCTGGACAATGTTGAAATGGCCTTTATTAAACCTTTGTTTCATTTGGAGGTATTTGAATACCTCAAAGCTTTCTGAAAGTGCTTTTAAAGAATTAAAAATATGACAAGCAACCACAAAAGACTGTTGGGCTGGGGCATAATCACTTTCATAACAATGTTATTTCATTCGCATGGCATTTGGCAGAAACCATATGTGTGCAAAATCCCAGGCTGCACTAAGCGCTACACAGACCCAAGCTCCCTACGGAAACACGTGAAGACAGTGCATGGCCCAGAGGCTCATGTCACCAAGAAGCAGCGTGGGGACATTCATCCTCGGCCCCCACCACAACGAGATTCCGGCAGCCATTCACAGTCCAGGTCTCCTGGCAGGCAGACTCAGGGAGCCCTTGGTGAGCAGAAGGACCTCAGCAACACTACCTCAAAGCGGGAGGAATGCCTCCAAATGAAAACGGTCAAGGCAGAGAAACCCATGGTATGTCATTCACTTTCCTTCTGATTTTCCCAAAGACATCTAAGGTCATGTCAAAGATCTGGAGAGGGCATTGAGAGGGAATAGACTGCTCCCATCCTTACTGCATCAAGCTATCTGATTAAAGGAGGACAGGAGCTCATTGATCTCAGTGACCTGGATTGCTTACTCAGAGTTGCTCTGCATAGAATAACTCAGCTCAAAAAAGAGTTTCAGAATTTTCTAAATGGTTTTTAAAATAGATCTGGAGCCATACCACCTAGTGGCAGAAAGACACAACTGTCTACATTTTCAGTGTAATATAGAAAATCATTCATTGGGTCTTTCTGTAAACAGGTTTTCTGTCTTCTTTGCCCTGGTGACACCAAGATAAATAAGTTATTGTCCCTATTCTTTAGAAGTTAATAATCCAGTGGGATATTGCAGGACAAAAAGCAAATATAATTCATTGTGATGGGGCTTTAAGGGGACATGATGAGGAAGGCAAGAGTCACAGAGGCAGACATGGCTGTCAAGTTCAGCACTCAGACAAGGAAAGAAGCAGATAGATCCTGGCATAGCCAAGCACTAGCCCTGGGATCCCAGGGCAGTGTGCAGTAGTTAAAAGGCATGAGGATATAAAGGATTGTGTTTTTCTGCTGACTTTTTAGAAGAGACAACTTTAGTGCCAGTCTAGAGATTGGTTTTGCAGTGGTGCCTGAACCAAAGAGGGAGAGAGCAAGGGAGGGATTGAAAGGTCGTCAGCAAAAATCTTTTGGTTTAGTTATGAATAGGATATATGGATTATGCTACTGTTACAGCTTCTTTCAAACGTCATTTTGCTTTATATAGTATGTGCCATAATAAAACATCTAAGATTTTCTAAAAGACAACAAGAAAAATAGAAGGAGCAACTATCAGAAGAGAGTCAGTACATTTGTATTTGGCCATATGTTTAATGGTGTCAGCTCTGTGGAGGCAGAGGAAAGGTACCAGATAGAAGTGACATGCTTAGACTTCCAAACTCATGGAAATGATCTGGCAGGCAAATTTATACTCAGTTCAAGGAAACATTTTTTTAAAATTAGGAAAGTCTAGAAATTGGATGGGCACCTATGAATTCCTGAATGATGTTACTGTGCAGTAGTACATATGGGCAGGAAATAATGCACATACAATTCCAGAATTCATGGAGTAGAATTTAATGACCAGTTGAATTCTAATGACTTATTGAGTTTGTCTTTGAACTCTTATGAGTCTTAATGACATTAAGCCTAGCCACAAATGATGCAAATAATGGAGGTTTATTATTATTTCCCAGTGGGTAGCTATACTTTGGTTTTAAAAAGCATCTTAGTAAAAGGTTTATATATGTATTAGGACTGATCACTATACTTTATCAGGTCATAAACTGTGTGTTATATACTTTTTTCTTGGGAGTACGTATCAACTTTCTAAAATAAAGCCCACCTGTGTAATAATTGTGCAGAACATTCAACAGTTTATCCTCAAGTGTTTAATGAAACAAGGAATGTGAATGTGTGGTCTATTAGATTATGTCATCGAAAGACATTGATTTATGTTGTTAGGACATCCTAAGAACCCAGAATCTCTTGTATCATTAATGTATGTTTCTGGCTCAAGAAAACTTGTCATCTCCTCTCCAAACACCCATTATTTAAAAAGAAAATAGGTAGAAATAAAGTTTTATAGCAATTTGGTTAAGTGACATCTGAGATGTCACAAAATGTTAGAATATCTTATAGAGTAACTAAATCATAGAAATGTAGGGCCAAAAGAGATCACAGAGGCTGAGACGAGGTCCCATGTTTTATAGGTGAGGAAACCGAGGCTCATTGTTGTTAATAAATTAATCAGATTTCCGTAGGAGACTATTATGTATGTATATGTACACATACTTATGGATATAAGTAGATATCTTCATAGACATTTACTAATGCACATGAGATTTACTTTCTAATATTCTACCTGTAAAAACCTGTCTTTGATTTGATCATCATGCTAAAAATTAAATTCTTTCTTCTTTTTTCTTATTAATCCAACATCCCTTCTGTGTAATGCTCCTAAATGTCTTATTCTTACTTCCTAAGGACAGTGGGTAATAAGGTGAGGGAATTTTGGCTTCTCTGCTTTTTTTTTTCTGTTTTCATTTTGACATTTAATTTTACTCATTTCATTTTTCTTTAGTTTTTGTGCTTTGTGATTCCTTTGATAGAGAACATTACTCAGATATGTTTCAAACATAGAAGCACTGCATTTTGAACATTTAGCTTGTGGAAATGTGGAGTTAGATGGTAAAATTCATTGTTTTATTTGTCTAGGTTTTCATAATAAATCACACTAGGGCCTACCAAGCAGATGTTCTCAAAGACTATTTAATTACCATATTGAGTATTGTAAATCCAGAACAGATTTGCACCACCTTCTTTGAGGAAGATCTGGATACATTTTTTCTTTGTTAGCAATTTAATCTTTATTTAAATGTCTGAGCCCCTTTAAAGCTTTTCTAGTTATAAGTGCATTTGTGCCTTCTTCCATGCCCTGTGGAAGCATGTGTCTGCATGTGCTTGTGTACATACAGTTTCACATACGCACACACTCTGACTTGACAATCCAGAGAAAAGGTCATCAAAAGCCCTGGCTGCTCCAAGAACCTTGGAACAGGAGCACGTGAGGTCTGGCATGCCAAGACTGGTGAAGCAAAAACTTAAGCAAGGCTTCATGAACTCATGATCAAATTTGTGTTTCTTACTTGATCTGCTTGGTTGCCCAGGACAGACAGACTTAGTGGATCATGTGGCACTCACTTGATAAGTGTTCATTTGCTCAGGTGTACATACTGTTGCAGAAAAAGTGTAATCTGTGTCTCAAACCCCCTCCTAACAGCACTGTGCATTCCACCTGAGACGGCAGTGGTCTGTAGTTGAGTGCGTGTCATTATCTCTCCCTAGAGACCTTTTGCTCTTTTGGCTGCTGTCAGGCTGCAGTGGTTAGAGTAACACTGGAGAAGGTGCTGCAGAGGAATGTGGTAGAGCTGGGCCAGGTGTCTCAGCTGGTTGCACCATTGACTTTGTGACTTTGGGCAGTCACTCATCTTTGAACATCACTTTTCTCATCTGTACAAAAAAGGTTAGGCTGTTTACCAACCAGGGCACCAGTGGAATTTTTGATAGAACAGTTCTATGTTGTGTGGACTGCTCAATGTGGGCCATTTTATGTGGCGCTTCTCAGACATGGGGACAGGGAGCTTTCCACTCCCCATTTGCAGGAGCCCCTGGAGGGGCCTTTCCCTGATTGAGAGCCAGTGGACTATTAAGTTTCCATCTAGTTGCAGAATTGTTTTACGCAGTCCACTTGGTTGGAGTTAGGGCAATATTGCCTGATTGTCCTAGTAAAATGCTAGGGGCACACCAAACTCGAGGTGGCTGTGACTTGAACCCTTTCCCCCACTCTAGGCACAGCAGAATCTAAGTGATTGAAGTTTTACTTCTTACAACTGCCTTTACCCACACACTGCTTGGGTTCTATAAAGTGGGAAAGTGTAGGAAGGCAAGAGATTACAAAGAACTTGAGAAACAATCACTGAGCAGCTTGGAGGGGCTCTTGTTGGGAAGAAGGTAGCGTGTGCTTATGGAGTATGTCTTCCATGGATATAGCTGCCCAGCAGAATAACACCAAGGACTGATGTCAGCTATGATAATTATCATAAATGCTTTCTGAGCCAATCAGTTACTATCACCCAGACATTTTTTTTTTTTTACATTTAGTATGCTCTCAGGGCTGCACACTTAATTCTCACAACAATCTCTAAGATAAATAACTTATTTTATAGATAAGGAAACTGGAGTTAGGAGTGGCTAAGTAATTTGCCTAAAAAATAAAGCCATGGAAGTGGGATTGGAACCCAGGAGGTGTGTTTGCAGAGTTGGTGTTTTGGACAGGGTTCCATGGTTGTTATGTCAGTCACACCACATCTAACCCTCCCTGCTATCTATTGCTTCCCACTGCGTATCCACCTGGTGGTCCATCAGTCATTGTGGTTGAGGGTTGCCATCTCCATTTGCCAGAACATAGTTCTTCTCATTCAGCCCACTGCATGTCCTGCACGTATTAATCTGCATCATCTCTCATTATTGACTCCCTTTCCTTTCTACTTTCCAGTAACATTTCTTTCCTTTTCTCTTGACCCCAGAAGACATCTCAGCCAAGCCCTGGTGGTCAGTCTTCATGCAGCAGCCAACAGTCCCCCATCAGCAACTATTCCAACAGTGGGCTCGACCTTCCTCTGAGCGAAGGAGGTGGTGTGGGAGACCTCAGTGCCATTGATGAAACCCCAATCATGGACTCGACCATTTCCACAGCAACCACAGCTCTTGCTCTACAAGCCAGGAGAAACCCAGCAGGGACCAAATGGATGGAACACGTAAAACTAGAAAGGCTCAAACAAGTGAATGGGATGCTTCCACGACTGAACCCTATCCTACCCCCTAAAGCCCCTGCGGTCTCTCCTCTCATAGGAAATGGTGAGTTCTGTGTCAGACCTTGTATCTGCTCAGGGTTTTCAGTCCTTCTAAATGCAGCCACAACACCGTGAGAGGAACTGGACCCTTGGTTTTATGTTTGCTAACTTTTCCACCAGTCTTAAAATTATGCTGCAGTCATACATATTAATGCTGCCTTCCTAGAGAGTCCATATTTTAAAAGCTGGAAGTGATAGGATAATGCTGAAACAAAAAGTAAGAGTATGCATGACTCATATTTTGATGTTGAAATCATAACTATTAGATCAGGTGAAGAAATCCCAGCAGCGGAGGCATCGGTGGTCAGCACCTGTCTCTTGTTCCTACATCTAAAAGTAGGAGGCTAGCAGCCACCTTACAAATGTTTGTCCAGTTCAGGGAAAGGTAAGCAACCTTTCACACTGTCAGCCCAAGTCAGTTTTTGAGTCTGAGATAACACTGAATGCCTGGAGCACATTCCAAGGGTGAAGATTGTGTGTTACAGTTTCATAGGATGTCACGGGAAGCCCTTAGTGTGAATGTGAAATCCTGTAATGCCTTCAGCCTGTAGACATGTCTGTAACTTCAGCGCTGTGTATTTCATTCTGCCCTTGGGCTTTTCATTCTGCCTTTGCACTAGGCCTATGAGGAACTTAATTCATCCAAGCAGTCCTTACTGGGGGGTTTTGTGTGCTTTTTTTTAAATATATCTGTATTGATTTCAGAGAGAAATATAGGAACATCAATGATGAGTCATTGATTGGCTGCCTCCTGCATGCCCCCTGCTGGGGATCAAGCCTGTAACCCTGGCATGTGCCCTGACTAAATTGAACAGTGATCTCCTGGATCATAGGTCAATATTCAACAGTGAGCCATGACAGCCAGGCAGTCCTTACTATTTTAACCAAGGGTCCCAGAACTTTGCCTGTGAGCTTGTAAATAAAGTTTTATTGGCCTCCAGCAACACCCATTCCTTCAGTATGGCCTGTTGCCCTTTGGTGCTGCACAGCACAGTTGGGTAGTTGTGATGGAGACTGCCTGGAGTGGGGAACTGAAAATAGTTACTACCTGACCCTTTTACCCTTTGCTGAGGCTTATTTTAAATCATCCTGAAATGAATTCATCTCTCCCACACTTTCTCTGCAGGCACCCAGCCCAGTATCAGCTGTAGTTTGGGCGGGCCCATGACCCTCCTCCCAAACAGAAGTGACTCTTCCTTGGTGGATGTCACCATGCTAAACATGCTCAACAGGAGGGACAGCAGCACCAGCACCATCAGCTCTGCGTACCTGAGCAGCCGCCGCTCCTCAGGCATCTCCCCCTGCTTCTCCAGTCGGAGGTCCAGTGAGGCATCCCAGGCCGAGAGCCGGCCCCAGAACGTGAGTGTGGCCGACTCCTACGACCCCATCTCCACTGATGCCTCACGCAGGTCCAGCGAGGCCAGCCAGTGCGATGGCCTACCCAGCCTGCTCAGCCTCACACCGGCCCAGCAGTACCGCTTGAAAGCAAAGTATGCTGCTGCCACTGGCGGGCCACCACCCACACCACTGCCCAACATGGAAAGGATGAGCCTGAAGACCAGGATGGCCCTGCTTGGGGATGGCAGGGAGTCTGTGGGGGCCCTGCCCCCTGTCCACCCTCCCAGGAGATGCAGTGACGGGGGAACCCACAGTTACAGCCGGCGGCCTTTGCTACCCCAGGACACACTAGGCCACAGTGTGAGAAGAGCCAGTGACCCGGTGAGGACGGTCTCGGAGAATCTCTCCCTGCCCAGGGTACAGCGTTTCAATAGCCTAAACAGCTTCAACCCTCCGGTTTTGCCTCCATCGCTGGAAAAACGTAATTTAGTGCTTCAGAATTACACACGGCCAGAGGGTGGTCAGTCCCGCCACTTCCGCTCCTCTCCATGTCCTCCGAGCATTACTGAGAACATCACCCTGGAGTCCCTGACCATGGACACCGATGTGAACCTGAACGATGAGGATTTCTTGCCTGATGATGTGGTACAGTATTTAAATTCCCAGAACCAAGCTGGGTATGAACACTTCCAGAACAACCTCTCTGGTGACAGCAAAGTGCCCCATGGGCCCAGCTTGGGAAATGGGCATGGCAACTTTGACCAGCCTGTACTGCCAGATGGCCATGTCAGCCAGCAGTACCGTGAGCTAGAGCAGCCTTGCTCTGAAGCCAGCAAAGCCGACCTGCCCATCCAGTGGAATGAGGTCAGCTCTGGCAGCGCTGACCTGTCCTCCTCGAGGCTGAAATGTGGCCAGCGGTCCGCAGCGCAGCCAGCTCGAGCCTTTGGGTTATATAACAACATGAGTGCCCACCCACAGAATCTCTTGGGGAATGGGGCTGGCCCACTGGGGGTCTATCAGACCTTTGGGGAGCACGGCAGCACCTATGGTGGACCAGAGCACTTGGTGGTCCACAGTGGTGATACTGGCACCAACAGAAACGTCTTCCATGAACAACCCTGTAAAGCCCAACAATATGGGAACTGCCTCAACAGGCAGCCTGGGGTCCCCGGCTTGCTTGATGGTACCTGTGGTGCTGGGATTCAAGTGGCAAAGCTGAGAAGCACCACCATGCAAGGGAATGGGAGCCAGCCAGATTTTGGCCTGTTAATGGTGCCCAGTGAGTCAGCTGGCAGCACAGTGAATGGTATGCCAACCAGATACCCGGTGGGACAGGGATACTTGTCTCATCAGATATTCAGTGATGGCATGCACCACCAGGGGGCAGGCCGCCCCAGGCAGCAGATGCTAGGGCAGGTTAGCGCTACCTCACATATCAATGTATATCAAGGGCCAGAGAGCAGCCTGCCAGGTCCTCCCAGCATCGGAGGCCAGCTGTCAAGCTTGGCAGCTGTCAGAGACTACCAGCCATGTGCTGGCTATGGAGGCAGCAGGCGCCAGGCTGTGCCGAGGGCCAGCCTCACTCTACAGCCAGGACAGCACAGTGACACAAGTCAGACCTGCAGGGTCAATGGCATCAAATTGGAGATACAAGGGCAGCCCCATCAACTCTGTTCTAATGTGCAGAGTTACTCTGGTCAGTTCTATGACCAAATCCTTGGCTTCAGTCACCAAGATATGAAAACTGCTTCATTCCCTATTTCAGAAGCCAACTGCCTGCTGCAGGGGGCCAGCACTGAAAACTCTGAATTACTTTCCCCAGGTGCTAACCAGGTGACAAGCACAGTTGACAGCCTTGATAGCCATGACCTGGAAGGGGTGCAGATTGATTTTGACGCCATCATAGATGACGGGGACCATGCCAGCTTGATGTCAGGAGCCCTGAGCCCAAGTATCATTCAGAACCTTTCCCATAGCTCCTCCCGCCTTACGACACCACGAACATCTGTCCCATTGCCAGCACTGTCTGTGAGCACCACCAACATGGCCATCGGGGACATGAGTTCTTTGTTGACCTCCCTTGCAGAAGAAAGCAAATTCCTTGCAGTTATGCAATAGGCTCTAGGAATAAAGGACTGCCAACAAACGTGAAACTTTAGGAGTTTAACAGATTAAATTGAGTCAGTTTTTTGCTGGTTTGTTTTTTTAGTTCTGTATGTATTTTTGCAATCTCATCTCACCTAACTGGGATGTGTTTCAAGTATATTCCTTTTATGGAAAAGGACTCTGAGAAACCCTAAAGTATTCTAGGGAGAAACTGTCTTCCATTTCAGTTTGCATCAGTATTGTTACACTCGAAATACCCCTTTTTAAAAAAAATGTAAGTCTGCCCCCTTTATTAGTAAACCAGTATAAATGTGTGATGTGCATGTTCTTCTTTCTTTTTGAAGAGAGATCAGATGAAAGGATGTGACATGTTTCTCTGTTAATAAAAGAAATAGGAGTTGGTATGCCTTTGACCAAGGGGTTAACTCCACCTTTTAAATTTTTCTTTACATATGTTCAACGTTAGTTTTGTTTTTTGTTTTTTTAATCCCCATGTTGGGCACAAGAATGGATAGTGAGTTTAAGAATCTTTTGTGGGTGAATTGTCACAGAGATCACAGATTTTTTACATACTCCTCACCCCTAAAGGGCATACTCTTAACCGTGGAAATTTGGGGCTCTTGAAATTAGTTTGCTTACAGTTTGGGTTTAAAATTCTCCCTGTCCATAGTGTGCTTTGGGGGGTATGTCTGTATGGTCAGTTTTCAGTTATCTACTTTGCCTCCTCTCCCTCTTTTTTCATGAACGTTCAGTGCCGTTCAGCATTCCAGTGAGGGGGGAAAGCCAGTTGATGACACTCAGGCATGTTGCTTCTTTCTTCTGTTCTGGTGAGAAGTTAGATGGATTGTAGATTGAAGCTGTTGGGTAGAATTAGTTTGGGGAATATTTGTGGGTTTGCTGTATTTGTTGATTAGTTCCATCTCTACCATTATCATAGATAACTGAGAATTGATTATATGATGTAGTTCTAAGTATATAGGTATTTAAGCAATCCCACAGCTGGCTGTCATTTACATATATTAATCCCACTTAGTGAAGGACTGCTTCTATTCTAAGTGCCCTATTTTCAGGGATTTATAAAATTTAGTTGTATCAGGAAAAGCTCACATACAATGATAATTGGAATAAATTGCTTCAACTATTTTTGTTATTTGAGATACTAGGTAGGATGTTTAGTAGCTGTGTATGGATGCCTTTGTATACTCTATTAAATGCTGCATACACTGAAGAAGTTAAATATCCTATGCAGTTAGTCCTTAACGTGGGCTTAATCTGTCCTTTTGTTTTGGATTAAAACATTTAAAAATTTAAAAAGTGCAGCTACTTCCCATGTACAGTGGATACACATAAAAAACATACTTTGTGTGCACAGAGTACATGGATTATCCAGCATTTTACATTTAAAAATATGTAAACTATTAAAATATTAACACCTAAGACTGTCTGCTGTATTATTCCCATTGATCCAAGAGTTGGATTTATCCAAAGTGGCTCATGGATCACTTGTTTAGCTTTTTTCCTTTATTCCTGCCATTTAAATTAGCTTTAGAAAGGCAAAATCAGGTACAATAAAATATTAGATAATGGAAAGAATGTTAGGACTAGCCTATTTTTCTCATGTTTATGGTCTCTCATTTGGACCAAGAATCTCAGCATGGAGGTAAATAAGACAATTGGATTTGCCTTCAACTGGATGTTCTTGAGATCAGCAGAGTGATGCTGAGATTTATCTTCCACATCCTGCCAGCCTCCCACATAGAGCACCTTCTTTTAAATCAAAGGATGAATCTGCTTTGGAACAGAGCCCAGAAGCCAAAAACAGCTACTAATCTGAGCCCAGTACAGTCGAGTCTCTACCACTTTTCAATGGGAAAAGCAAGGCTTTTTCTGTGTTCATCAAACAGGTCATGATCTGGTCACAAAAATCAGTGATCCATTCCATATATCTCCTTTTTCCAGGAACCTCAAAATCCCCAGGTCCTGGTGTTATCTTTCATGCTGTTGTGGTTTGGCCCAATCTCTGTCCTCCTCTGTCTACTTTCCTTAGCAGTTCCTGGGTGGGACCCACATTTCTCATTTCCCATAACTTCCCATATCATCTTTGCCCCACAAGGAAGGATGGACAGCAATTGGGATAAACACTGTTGTCATCTTGTGCCTCTGCTTTTTCTTCTGGTTTCAGATGATTCTCTGGGTTGCCCTGTTCCTTCATTTTTTTCTTTTCAAACTTGTTTTCCTTCCTACTGTCTTCAGTGCAGTATGTGACTCCTCTCAATCTGGAAATCTCAGAAGAATGGATCTGTTGTGACAGTCAGTGGCAGGAAGGTCTTCTGGGCCATTTAGAAGTATCCTGTCTGGACATGGATCTCTGTAGACTTGGCGTCTCCTGTAGCAGGACACACCTCCAGCCTCCAACCTTCTCTCTACTGAGTCACTGTTGTTACATCCTACTTTATTATGCAGGCTCATACATGGTATTTCTGTTTCACATCTTTGTTAAACATGTTTTTACATGTCAAAACATTTTTGTTTTATTTTCTATCTAGACTGCCCCTGCTCCTCACACATCTGCTCATCCTCTTGAGCCACAGCATTTTGATTCTTGCGATGTATGTGCCTTATTTTATGTTAATCGTGTCAATGCAAGAGACCCTTTTGTGTTGCCCAGTCAGAATTCAAAGCTGCATGCTCCCCATCCAGCTAAGAGTACACGATTGTAGCCGAATCTGAGCTGTGTTGTAACCTGGTTTCCCATGTTTTGAACCCATAGGAGGATGTTCCCTTCTGACAAGTTACTGTTGTGTATCCTGCAAAAGTGTAAGATAAAATACAAGTTCATTTTTTTCACATTTTTAGATTTTTAAAAAATAAAATGTGTAATCCTTTTTTAAAAGAAAGACATGTAAATACATTTAAGTATTGTAGGCATAGTGTCCGGATGTGACTGGCCCCGGGCCTTCCTTGCATCTGCCTGCCTCCAGAGCGATGCCCTATGCCCACCTCCAGCCCAGAGTGGGGCAGCCACAAATGGACTCGACTTTTGCTTTCAGAACCACTTAGTCCTTTTGTAACAAAGAGAAAGAACAATGTTTCTTAAAATGTCAATAAAAACTCTTTGTACTGAAAATTTTAGTGGTTTGCTTATTTAATTTATAGATGAATGGAAAGAATGCTTTCCTTGGAAAAATCCAGAGCCTGTGTTTGGACCAGACCCCCCACACAGCAAGCCAAATGCACTGGTGCTCAGAGACCCAGATCCCTCATCCCTCAGGTGGAAAAGGGGATGCCTGACACTCCCTGCTAGGGAGAGTGCGGGGCTGTGCCTGGACACGCTGCTTGTAACCATGATGGTTTTTCTCAATGTTATGCTTTGCCAAACTGTATGTGGAAGGATGTGAATAAGGTTTAATGGTTAACAACTTGTCCCTCTTTTATATGTTACCTTCTCATTTCAAAGGGTGTAAGGTAAAACACATATTAACAGAAAATCTGACATGGTATGTCTACTTTTATGTGGCTTTTAAAAACTTACTTCAGACAAATGTAAATGACTTACCTCATTTGTCTTATATTTTCTTTTCAATATTATTCTCCAGATTGCCGTAAAAGACTCCAAATGGGTCCCCTACCTCTGTCTGAATAGCAGTAGATGTCCTTTGAGCAAGCAACCAAGGGTACTGGTAGTCTATCTCAGGGCTACAATGATGGGTGAGGCCCTCCTGCACTCACCTGCACAAGTACACCTGCACATGTCCCAGGGAACTGCCCCTCTAGTATGTGATGAAAGTCTTCCTGTTCTGCAGTCATAGGGATGCGTCATGTTTTTCTAATTCACAAGGGAGAATTTTCTACCATAAACCCCAAATTCTTTGCTTTCTTAACTAGATCCCTCACAAAAGGTGTCCAAATGAATTCTGAAAAAAAAAAAAAAAAAAAAATGTATGCCCTTAGGTATAAATGTTTAGCTTATGAAGATTTATGCCGTATGCAAGTCAAAATAAATAAGAAATGAGGCTAATAGAAAGGAAAATGAGGAATGGGGTGCATGATAATACAAACCTCCTGTAAGCCTGTGTGAGCAGGCACACAGATACAACACAGAACTTTGTTTAAAAGTGCCTCCTATGAAGGAGACTTGAAGGCAGCAGAGTATGAGGTACAATGGTGGAGCTGCAATCCATATGGTATCATAAAGATTTATTTTAAGTAATCTTGGGAATTCAAAGGTTCTATTATATATTGCCCAAATAAGAATATAATAGAATAGATGGAAAAATTAACCCACTGCCAAATTGTCATATTCATCCCTTTTTATGCCAGGGTTTTCTCTTCATTGACCTGGTAGTGTTTCCCCTTTGGTTTTACTTTATGTTGTATTTACTGTTCCAAATACAATCTAGGCTCATCCTTCCTTTAATATTAACTTTTACTTTTGAATGGCATTTTACCAACATAGACCTAGTTTATGCCTTCTCTACCTTACTTATTCAACCTCTTCACAATTTTAGAAATAGTTACAGAACCTAAGTTGTTTTTAGGCTTTTTTTCTTTTTTTACATTGTGTGGCCACAAGCATTAAGCTCATACTCAGCCAACAGAGGCATGGCCTCTTAGGTTCTACAAAATTTCTCACCTATCTTGCATCTTGGACTTATTCTCATGCTGCTTCCACCTTCCTCAACACCCAGTGGTAGATTATCATAGTCCTGGCCTTCAGAGAACTTAGAGTTTTTCTGGGGATATTGCATAGACAATAGTTGCATATTCCATTAATTCATAGCACTGCTGGATATCTAATATTCCATTCACATTCCTTGATAGGAACTCTAGACAAGAAGGTGAATAAAGCCCAGTGTGCCCATAAGCTTCTAGCCCATTAGGAGGGACAGACATAACCACAAAATACAATAGTATGCCATATGGAAGATGCTCAAGGGGAAGTTCAGTATGGGGCATTATCCATCTGAAGTGTATATGGCAGGACTAATCAGCCTCAGCATTATGGACGTTTTGGGGCAGATATTTCTTTGTTGTAGGAGACCGTCCTATGTACTGTAGGATGTTTAGTGGCATCTCTGGCCAATACTCACTAGATGCCAGTAATATCCGCCCCCCCCAAGTTGTAATCACCGAAATGTCTCCAAGGCATTGCCACATGTCCTTCATGGAGAAAATGGTTCCAGGTTGAGAGACTAAGATTTAAAAAATGAAAATAAAATTAGAGAAACATACTGCAGGCAATATGCCCAAAAGATAAATTTAAATCCAAACCCTGACTTGAGAGGCTTTGGTGCACGGGTGACAGATGAAGCAGGTGCTAAGAGCGCCATTACCAGCCCAGTGTAGAATGAGGATTGAGGAATGAACCCCGAGGAACACTGGCCCCATGAACTAAGAGAAGGGGTGAGCACATGTGAAGTAGGGCTGCCAGAGGAGGAGAGGGAGGTCAGGGACAGGAGAGACAGCATGCTCTAGAAACAGGGTAGAAAATTTCAGGAGGCCAGTGTTGTCAAAAACAACATGTAAGTCTAGCAAAACAATTGAAAAATACTAGTTTTGAAAGTTAGGAGACCCTGGGTAACCATGGGGAAACATTTTTCAGTGGGTGGTTGGGAACAGAAACCAGAGCATAAATAGTTGAGAGTCAAACAACACGATACAAAGGGGATTTACTGATTTAGCTTTTAAATAGCATTCCACATTTCATTACATTTAAGATGCCACCAATACTAAGACACATGTTTCTCTATGTTCCTGCTAAGAAAGCAAAAGCACTACAATTAAGCTATGATACAATGCTTCCTATCTTCTAAAAGATATGCTACAATTCACTGGTGTTACCAAGGTGGGAAAACTATGCACCTCAGAGGGTTTGAACTCCATATTTCCAAGGGAAAGGAAAGAGGTAGTAGTAGGTCAAGGAGAGGTAGATGGATTTTTGTTGTTCCCATTCCTTCTCTCCCTCCCTCCTTACCTTCTTACCTTCCTTTAATGCAAGAAGCTTGACCCCATTAATCATCTAATAAGACAAAGGCAGAAGACAGGAAGCTGTTGATATTAAGGAGAACAGAGATAACTGGATCATGGGACAGATCACTTGACCTGGAATAAGAAGGACAGAGGTAAGCAGAGCAGGTTTAGACAGATATGTGGTATGCGTACAGGAGGTTAAGAAGCTGAGGGGATTCAAAGGTGACATAGACCTCTGAAGATGCAGTGGGGTCTGGCCTGTGTCAGGAAGGCCAGTGAACATGAATGAGTGAAGAGGAACAAAAGGAGCGGGTGATAGGATGGAACAACATAAAGCAGAGAGTAAATACTGCTGTTTCCCTATGGGTCTAGATTAGACTTACTGGGCATAAGACTCAAGTAGAAGATTATTTTTATTTTTTTCAGGGAAAATAACTTTTAAAAATACATTTGGCAGTGTTTGTGGGCAGCATGTGGAAAGAAGGGGGCATGGGGGTGTGCCCTTGGAATGGCACAGGCTGCTCTGCTCCTGGGGAAACAGGAGAGTGAGCAAGCAAGGGCCAGGGTGGGCTCTGCCCCAGCTTCTTCCCAACTCCCAGGAGGCAGGCTCCAGCAGGCCCTGCAAAGGCCCCAGGGTAGTGGGGGTGCTGGGGAGGACCAGGTTCCACAGTCAGGGCTTTCTGACACTGGCTCTTCACCAAGTAAGCAAGAAACTTCATTGAAACTTCCAGTTAATAGTATTTCAGGGTTATTTTGTTTTATGTTACATGACTGTTTATTTAATAAAGTAACAGGTTAATGCCTTAGTCTTACCTCTGCAGGCTCCAGTTGTACCTTCCTCCTGCTCCAGTTTCTCTTCCACTGGCAGCTTCCCAGCCTGGCTGAGTGAGCAGTGACAGGTGGCCTGGCAAGTCTGTGGCCAAGCAGGAAGGAGCACCAGCAGCACTAAAGGGGGCCAGCCTTGCCTGAGGGACCTCCCCTGGGGAGAGAGGAGGCTGTGGACTAGTTGAGCATTACCAAGCAAGGCTACAGGCTGCCTGGGTTGCCTGTACTTTTCCTCCTGCTCTGCTGTGTCTCATAGGCTTCTTGCTAAAGCTCTGTCTACAGAAAAACTCCCTAGTTATTCCAGTTGGGGCAGCTGCAACACTATCCTCTCCTTGCTTTTGAAAAAGGTATAAAAGAAAGAAATGAAGGGAGGGAGGGAAATGAAAAAGAGAGAGAGGGAGAAAGAAGAAAGAGAGAGAAGAGAGAGAGAGAAGGAAAGAGAAAGAAGAAAAAGAAAGAAAAGAGAGAAGAAAGAAAGAAAGAAAGAAAGAAAGAAAGAAAGAAAGAAGAAAAAGAAAGAAAGAAAGAAAGAAAGAAAGAAAGAAAGAAAGAAAGAAAGAAAGAAAAGGAAGGAAGGAAGGAAGGAAGGAAGGAAGGAAGGAAGGAAGGAAGGAAGGAAGGAAGGAAGGAAGGAAGGAAAAGAGAAAGAAAGCGGGAGAAACAGGAATGGCAGCATAGGTAACAGCTGCACCCGCCACCTCCCAAAACCACACCAAAATTACAACTAAAATACAGAACAACCATCATTCAGAACCTCCTGAAATCTGGCTGAACAGAAGCCCTACAATCAGGGACCTGGAGAAGCACCAAGACTGGTGGGAGGGGCGGAGACACGGGCAGATCAGGACTGAAACTGAGATGCTCCGTGAGCCCACACCCGGTGCCATGGTTCAAACCCAGGAGGGACATCTCAGGGGTGGAGGTTTCCCAGAGGAGTGAGGGGTCCCAACCCCACAGCAGGTCCCCAGCCCAGGGCTCCAGGGCCAGGAAGAGACGTCCTCACAACTCCAGGCTGTAAAACCAGCAGGGACTATGGCTGAGGGTCAAGGAGGCTGCAGGAGCCCCAGCAGATCCTCTTAAAGGGCCCGTGCACGGACTCACTCAGAGGTACTCCCTCTGAGCCCCAATGCCCAGGCAGCAGCTTGAAAGGAACTTGGCACATTTGGGGAGGAACTAACCTGCCTGAAATTGGGGCAAGAGGTAGAGGGACGGCTTTCTCCCAGGCAGAAGAGCTGGCAGAGGCCATTGCTCCTTTGCCGAGTCCTCCCCACACACAGCCAGCAGGCAGGCGCCATATTTGAATCACCAGCACCTGACTCACACCTTTGGCCC